TGTTTCCTAGTGTTAACATTACTGCACCTGGGTGTGGTCCTCTCTCAATGTAAGGCACGTCACATCTCCTGTAAAAATTAAATAAATGAGATACAATTGACATTTGCACATCCGTCAAGCAATGCTGTAAAAAAGGCTCTCAGCTGCTACTGTCAGGGTTGCTAAGCAACAGGAGCAGCGCGTCGTAGGCTAGACGATCTCAATTAAAGCAGCCTCGGAGAAGGATGCAGCCCCTGAATTGGGACACAGCTTTAGTACTCAAGGGCTCTGATGGATGTTATCTTCAGGTGTGATACATATATGTCTGCAGTTAGCTGGAAGATTTTGGTTTGACAAATATTTCAGTTACTGAAGCAACAATGTCTTCAGTTCAGCATTTGAGAGACTTTATCAGGGAGAGACTAACTGCTACAGCTGAAGACATCTCCTCTGAGGCTGAAAAAACGATGGTCCAGTATGAGGAGGAGATCAGCCGTCAGCGCAGACTGCTGGATATCAGCCGGAAACCCGAGACAAAGTTACACATGACAGGTATGTATAACTGCGATGATCATGTAGGACCCTGATCAGAGCTCAGTTTTAGGCTAATAGAGTAAAATCAAGGTGCAGCTAATATATACATACATACATACATACATACATACATACATACATACATACATACATACATACATACATACATACACACACACAAATGTAAACTTTTAGCATTAAACACTGAGTAAGGCGCAGAGAAAGTCACTTTTGAGGTTAAAATGTGAGACAAAACTTGTGCCACAGCTGGCTGACAGCTTGATCTCTCTGTCCCTTACCCTGTGTGTCCTGAGGCAGGAGTCCTCTGCTCCTCACCACCCATCTTCATCCTTTGAGATGTGTTTAGTGATCAAAATCACTGCCTAATCAGGGCCAAACTCCCTGCAAGACGACCCTGTGTCTCCCATTACTCTCGTCTCTTTTAAACAAACAAATCGATTCGACTTAAATGTAAGTTTTATTTTCAAAATTTACCCTGTTAAATAAGTGAAACTGCAATAGGTTTATGTGACCAAAAATAATCATGATTATGAATTTTGCTGTAAGCTTTTGCAGCAGCTTTAGCTCAGACTAAAATGATTCAGCTGTGTGGAGGAAATCTGGGGGAAAAAGCCCACTTCCAATGTCTTTGAGTCTTTCATTAAAGCTGCAGAAGGACCAGCATGAACAGACACACAAAGCATTTTGTGCAGGCTGGATAACGAAGAACTGCACTCTGAGAGACAGTTATTGAGTGAGCCTTCCTGATAAAGAAAGACCGACCTTGAGACTGAATGAAAAGAGCTACAATGAGCAAACTGGTTCAGACTGGCTGCATACTTACTTCCTGTACACATAAACTGTGGAAAATTACAAAGTAATAAATAATAATAATAAATAATATAAATATAAATAATATTTTGGAAGCTTCTATGGAGATGACCATATATCGCACCTCTTTCCTTAATATTAGTCATTTAGTTTGAGTCATAGTCATAAGTCTCATTACACGACATGACATCACACAGCTCTACACCTGAATCAGATTCATTATATGTTGATAAACCTCTTGAGCTGTAGCATCTCTTTGTTGAAGGGGTCCAAACAAAAATTCATGCACCAAATGATAAGAAAACAATACATACTATGCACAACTAACACAGAACGAATAAGACAAGCAAACAGAAAACAAAAGGTCACAAGACAAATAAATAAAATGATAGCTTTTTACAAAGCAACGATAAACAAATGAACACTGATGAACTTAATGAAAATATATGTAGTCTGGTTTGAGCAACAAAACATGTTTGAATAAGTAAAAAGCTAACATGGAGCAGAAATTTGAAATATTCAAAGGTAGTATTTCACACAGAAAGAGCCAAAAAAAATAAAATCTTTGATCCAAAGACCAACTTCCTCAGATACAAAATGGACATTAATGATGAAACTATAGAGAGAAATTACACAGTTTGTCCAAACATACACAAAAAGGGCTTGCAAACAAAAAACATTCATTACAACTAAAAATACAACAAATGTAGCTCATTTCCCAAAACAAGACCCGTAGGCCTTTAGATAGACCATAGATCAGGTTGGTAGAGATCATTAGAACACACTATAAAATAATTTAAAATACCCCAAATGTCAGACTAGTTAGTCAAGTGTGGCTAATGTTGTAAGTGCTAACAAGCAAGCCTACTTTTTTTCACAGGTCCACACATCTTAATGTGGTTAAACATTACTCCTGTTTAGTTATATGCAGGACTGTACTGGGGCATAAATCCAGGCTATGAGCCTGAAATATTTGCTTTTTAGGGCTGTCATTATATCTGATTTTCTTCCGTTTACATGTTACACGGTGTATTTGCTAGCCAAAGGTATCACTGCTTTATTTCACAGGGTGAGAATGTTTACTCAGAGACAGAGAAAGATGTAAGAACAAGACAGGTTGAATTCTGTTTCTGTGAAATGAACACTGACTTTGTGTTATTCAAATGTTTGGTAACTCATCTACAATGTGGGAAACAGCAAACAAGCAATTCAATTTATGTTGTTTTCCCATTGCTTGTTATGTTTTCTACATAACAGATGAGTACCATCCATCCATCCATCCACTTATCTGAAGTTGGGTCAGTAAGCTAAGCACACTTTTCCAGACATTCCTCTCCCCGCTTTCCAGTTTCAACTGAGGGATCCTGTGGAACTGGATCATGTAGCCTGGCATTCCCGGGCTAGATGAGTAATTTTTATGTCTCCAGCAGGTTTCTGGGCATGACCAGAACACCTGCAAAGGGAGGTGCCCACGAGGCATCCTCGAACCATCTGAACTCACTCCTTTCAACGTGCAGGTTTACACTTTGTATACGAACCCATATATAATATAATTTTAGAAATCACATTGAACAATCCACTAAAAAGTAATAACTGACTAAAGAAAATAACAGAATGCACCTCAGCAGGTCAATGTTATGATGGTGAGTTCATGGATGACATGAAGGCAGCTTCTTTATGGCAGCGGACGAAGACAAAGAAAACAAAGGGGGAACTCGGTCAGCTTTAGTTTTCCAAGTATTCTACTTTATCAACTTGCTGAGCATTTTCTTTTTCACGTTGTTGAAGCCAGGACTGAAGATCCAGAACATTAAGATCACATGCAGTTGACTTCTAAACTGGAAACAAAAACTGACTTATGCAAACTGGAATTAATAGGATTGACATTTGAAGCAAACAGGTCAGGTTTAATATTTTGAATGACATACCATACTGTTTTTAGTGTTTTCCTGTCATAACATTAGGAAGCTTTTTTCTTGTGTCCTTTTGTTCCTTCAGCAATCCCACAACAACATGAATGTAAGGAAGAGGAGGGTCTCCTCCAGCAGGTCTGCATCCCGGAGAGGAACTCCAGTCTTGATCAGGAGGACCCAGGGCATCCAGAGATTAAAGAGGAACCAGAGGAACTCTACACCAGTCAAGAGGGAGAGCACCTTATACTGAAAGAGGAGACTGATACCTTTATGGTGACTTCTACTTGTGAGGAAAGTGAACCAAACAGTGACCAGCTCCTTTCTCACAACTGTCCTGAACTGGAGAGCAGAGACGAGGAAGAAAGCACGTATGTGGACTCAGGATCGACTAGATGTGCAGATCTGTTGAGACATCAAATAGACAGAAGTCATATTAGCAGAGTAAATGACTCTCAGGCTTTAGACAGCCAGTGTAAAACTGATACAAGTAAAAAGTCTGTAAAATGTGACACTTGTGGAAAAGCCTTTCAGTGTAAATCCAACCTGACTAAACATCTGAGAACACACACAGGTGAAAAGCCACATTCCTGTAGCATCTGTGGAAAAGGATTTAGTCAGATGGCAAACTTGAAAACTCACATGAGAATTCACACGGGCGAGAAGCCACATTCTTGCAACACCTGTGGGAAGAGATTCAGTCACATGATAACTTTGAAAACTCACGTGCAAAATCACACAGGTGACAAGCCGCATTCTTGTAGCACCTGCGGGAAAAGATTCAGTCGTATGATACACTTGAAAACTCACATCAGAATTCATACAGGTGAGAGGCCGCATTCGTGTAGCACCTGTGGTAAAAGATTCAGTCAGAAATCAACACTGGAAACTCATGTAAGAATCCACACAGGTGAGAAGCCACATTCTTGTGCGATCTGTGGGAAAAGATTTAGTCAGATGGCAAATCTGAAACGACACATGGGAATTCATACTGGTTAAAGATCACGAATGAGTGAGAGCTGTCAGACATGGCAGTGTGCCGATGATAGAGCCCACACTGGTGACAAACCAAATCGCTGCAACAACTAAGGGAAAATGTGACCTCATATTCAGGTTGAGACGTGTACAGAACTCTCAGAATTGTTTATTTGGCTAATTATTATGATGCATTGGAACCTTTTTTTATTGTACTTTAAAAAAAAAATTGTGACGTGGTGACCAGAGAACAAAACAGTTTTTTCCCTGCATCTTTGGGTTGGCGAACGTTTCCTGGCTGATGTCTCTGCTTACATGCCGAATACTATCCGAGAACTATTCAGCATGTACCTGGGCTACTTAGGGTCCCCAACACTCAACATAAGAAGTGAAGCAAAACCTGCAGGGGTGTGATTGAAGGGAATAGCCTGTCCAGTCTAAATCCAAGCAGTGCTTTGTGGGGCTTCTGTGATAGTCCTACTTTATTCATAATCAACACCATGTTCAAACAAGTGTGTCTATGAGTGCACATCACACCTGAGCCATAAATTGCTGATCAATTTTGTAATCATATAGTCAGGTCTGCAGCTGTATGTTCTGAACTGTCAGGTTATGAGAGGAGCCCAGTTGTCAGTTGATCATTAGCTAGTGGTGAGTTGGAGGACATGGTGGGGAAGGATGCCAGAACGACCTTGCATACCCATACTGTAGATGTGCTGAAAGCATCTGGTAGAGGTTCCAGTTCACAAGATCTTTAACTCTGAGAGCTTTAACAGCATTCTGATGAAAGCTAGGGACATTGACTCTGAATGGACCGTTTCACGTGTTTTTCCGTCTCGGAGTAGAGCTCCTACTCCCCAAATATCGAAAGGAGATGTTTAAGGTGGTTTTTGCATATAACCAGAAAGTGTCCAGTGTGAAGTGTTCTGGGCACTGCAGGATGTGGCCCCAGGAGAAACAATGGGGAGATTATATCTTTCAGCTGGTTTGGGAACTTATTGGGGTCCCTTAGGAAAAACTAGAGGAGGTGGCTGGAAAAATTCAACTCTGGGTATCTCTGCTTATACCTGCTGCTATACTTGCTGCTGTGACCTAGAAATGGATTACCTGTCCAACTGTCAAAAATTACAACTCTGGCTCCTTGAAAGTAAAATGTAAAGAGGGGTGCTCAAGACATTTGCACAGCACTGGTAACTGGTTTTGTTTTACCTCTATTTTAATTTTCTACTGTATTTTTATTTTTTTATATATAGTAAATTTTATTGTACAGTACTTTGTGATTACATGTCTGTGAAAAGTGCTATGTAAATAAATTTACTGATTGTAGTTAATCAGCTAAGTTAATGAATGGATTTTTCTTCCTTTGCTTCATTTTTTAATCTGCTCAGTTTCTTTTTATTTGCTTTAGTTTTACAGATTTGGGTGAAATTCGTTTTAGAGTTTTGACATTATATTATTAAAATCTGAGAGTGTTTTGACAGAAATACTGATGGAAACTGCAGGAGACATTTCAGCATCGTTAAACCAGTATGTCAGCTCTTGGGAGCAAAATTACAACAACAACACAGAAAGAAAGAGAAAATGATTTAAATCATTTTTTTTCTTTCAACTGCTCATTTTTACATTTTAGGGATCGCCAGAGTGACTCATCTTCCAATATATCACAGTTTCTAGCATCCTCTTTAGTTATGCCAGCCCTCTTCGACTTTTTCTTCACTACATCCACAATGTATAACATCAGTAGTGTTTGTGGTAATCATTAAAACACTTCATCATCCTCCCACAAAATTTGTATTCAGTTGACTTTAGTTTTCAAACGCCACAGACATGAGATGTTGGTTTTCTACGGTCTTAAACTGAGCTATCTTTTAAAATCTGAATTGTACAAAGCTTCTGAATATTTTAGGATTTTGATAAGTATAAGTTACTGAGTTGTATAAAACTGCCCCCACACATCCAGACTCACTAAAACGTTTGGTCTTTGAACAAAAAATCTGTATTTTTTTTTTTTATACTTTTCATCCTTTTTGATTGATTTCACTTTGCTTGTGTTTTACTTTCTATAAATGAAATCTGTCATCATTAGGGATGGGAGTCACAAACTGGTTCCCAACAGTTAAATTCCTTGGATTTGTTAATCTCCTTGCCTGTTGATTCTGCTCATCAGTTCCACTCACACTTGCTACAGTTTAAGATAAGA